TATAATCAGTTATATATTTATGGAGGATTTAAGAAGGACAGACAGTTTTGAAAATTTTCTTAATACATTATCATATACCCAGTAGTAAGTACATTTAAAAATTCAACTTTTTTTAAATAATAATAAAAAAAAGATTGTGCATATTAAATTTTTATTTTCAAACCACATTTAATTTTTTTTTTTTTTTTTTTTTTTTAAAAGAGTTTTTTCTGCACCTCTCAATAAATGACGAGTAAAGAATGCATTCTATCAAAAACGATTTTGGGCTAAGATATTTTTAAAACCCAAGCCTTAGATGATTAAAAAAACAAAGATTTAAGAAATATATCAGATATGAAAATTAAAAAAAAAAATAACAAACAAACAACAAAGACTAGAATTTTGAATGGCGTGTCAGGAAATCATACTGTGATGTGTTAAAATGGAGTTGAGTTTCCTGAGTAATCTAGGAAGTTACTTCTGGGAGAGAGATCTCATCGCTAACGAGTCTTAATTAAATGTGTAACACTGAGGTCTGTGAAAATTTCATGACAAAGAATTTCTCTCATGGGAAAGTCAGTGTCGTGTCGAGAGACCGCGTAGAAACGCGCGCTGTCCTGTCCAAATACTGATACCGGGCTCGAGCGCGAGCTGTAGATGATGAAAGCCAAAATTACCGGCATATTAAATTGATTTTTTAAAATAAATGAAAAGTACAAGCCGATGCACGCGTCTTCATATTTGTTCGAGAAAATAATAAAAGCAGTTTTATGAAATCATTGTGTATTTATCCGAAATTATTTTTCCTGTGGGAAAACCTAGACAAATGAAATTTAACCTCTTTTTCTTTTTCGTTAAAGCGTGTCGGTCGCGCGACCAGTTTAGTCAACTTACATATGTAAATGGTCGTTAAAGCAAATGTATCGACGATTAAGCATAGTCGGATTTTATGGCAGATATCGAAGCGGAATAAAATGCCGTACAGGTTTTTCTTCTTTTATTCAATATTCTTACATGATCTTTTTTGTGTGTTTCCCGCTTCATTAAATTCCAATAAGCTATAGTAGTCTAATAGCGGAGCGCGGGCACGCGCGCCGAACACCGTATCACTCTTCCAGGGAACACCTGCCCCGAATTTCATCTCCAGTATAGAACTAACCGCCTCCTGCACGCGCGCATAATGAGAGGGCAGGTGATGCCAAATTAGGCACAATATCGTTCGTCTGAAAATCTTATTCAATCTGATTTTTATATAACTAAAGCTCTTTTATCCCAACTTCTCCAATAAATATCCCAAAGTGTTTGGAATCTAAATAGACCCACTGCTGTTCCTGGGTTCTAATTACAAGCATCGATCACAGTATATTTAAATCCATAATACTATTCAATTCTCTGACCTGTTTCTAAACCAATTTTTATTTTAAAAAATTCAGTTACAGTACTAGAAATTCAAATCATTTTCAATTATACAGATCATTATTGATAGCCTAAAATTTTGCAAACTTTGAATTTTACAAAATGTGTACCCAACTCATTCAAGAAAAAAAAAGGCAGTATGAAAGTGAGAAAAATTAACATAATAATAATAATGATAATAATAATAATAAATCACAAGACTTCGTCTTACTTTTTCAAAACCGAGCAGATATATAAGATGGCAATCCTGTATATTTATAAAAAGCAAATTTTAAAAATCAAGCAAAATAACAAAATACTTGATCAGATCAAAGTAAAAATACATGTAATAATAAAAACAATAATAATAAAACAAATATCTGTGAAATATAATGTCATATTTGATTACATGCCATTGTAGGATTCATATTTGGTGGTTTATCATTTTATTTCATAAACAAAAAGTTAATTTCCCCTAACCTCAATACAACATCGAGGAATATATTAGAGACATGGCAATAAAACATAGTGCGCACCCTGTTTTCGTTGCCTTCCAATGGATAAAGCTTCACTCTGATCGAGTCAGTCTGCACTTAAAAGACTTCCAGGAAACCGAGACTGAAAATGAAATCTCGTACCGCGAGAATCACTACAAATATTTGCCAGTTTCTGACACCCGCGGCGGAATTTTGCTACAAATCACGGCGCAGTACTTGGCCGTTGAGATGGTGATGTCCTGTCAGCTGAAGATATGACTGTGATTGTGGCGAGCACAGCAAGGTGACTAATGCCAATCCGGTACTTGTGTTAGTATTTAATCAGTTTCAGTAAAAGTAATAACCGATAAATCACCAAGGACGTTTCGAAGTATGCGATTAAATGAGGGAGCATTTATAACACTTTTTTTCCTCTCGAGTGAATTTATTATTTTTTTTATTCTCTCATTTTCTTTTTTTTCTTTTGTTGTGTCGAAGAAATGGTATATATAAGCTTTATTGGAGGAAGTAGTAGAGATTTTTTTCTCTCTCTCATGATTTCCCATATGTTGCGGAAGCTACGCTCAACAACTGTTGCGACGGAACTTGGGAAGAAAATTGTAAAAACTTTGATCGGTCAAAAGTAACACATATCGATATTCACCTTTACAAATGTTGAAACCTCGTCATCAGCTCGTTTTGTTATTAAAGCTACAGGACAACATCTTTGTAATGTAAAGGGTTTATTTCATGCAGTATTATGAGATTTAAGATAAAATTATGACAGCATTTTTTTCCCAATAAGTTAAGGGTGCACTTCTTGAAATATGCATTCTTTTATTTAATTTGGTTTCAAATTATTAAATCGTCACATGAATGCCTTGATGTGTAAATTAATTTAAGCATTTCTTAAAAATATTTAACTTTTGCACATGTTATCCTTTTCCCTTTTCCCATCACATACATTCATCATTTTCTTTTCAAAGGAAGTAGGCAATGTTGAGTGAAAATCAGAGAATTAAGCGAAATTTACAGCTTAGAATTTTAAATTCCTATTTGTTTTGTTTTCGCTGTTTAAGTTTGCTGTTGCCCAACAATATCAACATCTGTCGTCTTAAGAGTTTATTTTCACTTTTTTGTTGAAATAATTTTACTTTATGTACCGCTAAATGTGTCAGTATTGTTGATGGATTATGACCTTTAGTGTTCATATCAAACAAATTTTGCGCATTATAGCTATTGTTCCTGGACAAAAATTCCACAAGTGTTGGGTAGTGGCGACACCAATGCCGCGAAGTCTGACACAGTTGCGACATTGAAATTATATACAACCGAGTTTGCTTTAGACTCTAAAGTCCCTGTATAAATTTAGGGCAACAAAAGCCGAGGGTATACCCAACAATGTATTTTGTGGCTGGGAGAAAGTTAAAGGTTGGCACGTGCTGTCGACATCTGTCGCGTGCCACAGGAGTTTTGTGTCGTCTGCGGTCTTTGAGTTTTAGGGGTAACTGTCCTCACGAAGACGAATCATCCTTTATCTTTTTATGAAGGATTTTTTCTTTCTCTTTATGTTTTTTTAACACCACCACAGGGCTTCGATCACGCATGGAACCAATTGATCCTGGAGAATTGGATTCTACGGAATTTTGCTTATTATAAATTACTAAAGATTGAAATTCCATATCAACATTTATAATACCTAGTAGTTTTAATTCAATTCACCAAATAAATTAATAATTGAGGCTAGAAGCAGAGAGGTAATGACAATATTTCACTATTGAAAAGATCGTAAATAATTCAATAAACAGTTTGATTTTTATCAGAAAACATCAAAGATAGTGGCCGCTGCAAATGGCGGGAATTATCTTGCACCCGCCAGTGTAGTCTACAGTTATATGACAATTGTCAATTTTATAACCATCCTTGAGGAATTGATCCCAGGATAGCGCCCTTTTTCAACACAACAGGTGGCAGAGCAGAGCCTCTTCTACAAACGGCACTAATCAAATATTGATGGACTTTAACAAATTCAATATTCTAAAAAAAAAAAAAAAAAAAAAAAAAAAAAAAGTGAGAAATGGTCATCGTTAAGGATCAGTTGTGTAATGCACTGCTTGAATTGTTTGCAATGCAATTTTCGAGAAGAAATTTAATATTCATGATTTTTTTCTTCCAAAAGCAGCAATAAAATCTATACCATATTTTCTCCATACATTATGATTTTGGAATGTGCATGTTATTGATTAATAACAGAAAAAATGAAATTAAGAAAATATTGTAATAAAGTTCGAATTATTTTGGACACATTTATTCTTGTTAATTAAATTATATTTAACAAATTGAAGCTTAAATTTAAACAAGAAAAAGTACGATCAACACACTCAAGATTTTCTTAAATATGATAATGAGAAAAGTAGATGGATTCAGGGATTTTAGATAATTTATTTTCCTTTTTTTATACAGATTACTTCTAAAGCTATTACGGAAAGGTAATTGATTTGTGTTTTGCGAACTTTTAATATAATACGTCATATATAAAAGGTCCAGAGTTGATGTTTGACTGCTGGTACAATGGCTCCTGTGCGATCAAGTTCTCAGCTGTATGCAAATGAACGCGCGCGCGAATTTGCAGCTAAACTTTACTCTGAAGAAATTACAAGAAATTATTGATTTTTATGCATGTTTTCTTCAACGCATCTATAAACTAATATTCAGAAAATGAATTTGAAACAAAGAAAAATATTGAAAATATTAAATTATTATGTTATGCGAAGTTTACGTACGTGAATGAAATCACGTACAAGAGCGTGAGTTTCTTAGTTCAGGAAAATTTTCTATGGTTTTATTTTTAATTGTGAATGCAAATATCGATATTATCAAATTGCGTGTTGTTGATATTATTAAACGACATTTAGTCAATCTATTCGTTATTGATTGCCTGTACTCTGTAGAAGAATTTTGCCGAGTTCTACAAACAGAAAAAGTTTACCGTTCATAACTGTTTTGATTAAAGAGATTCCCTTTATTGATTCTTCTGTAACTTTAATCATCGCTCGTTTCACCTGTACAAGTAAAACGCACACGCTATAGAACAATTGCAAGCGCCAAATTCATGTAGTGCGCTATGAGAAAAAAGTGCGCACCATTAACAAAGAAAATTGGCATCAGAATTTGCGAAAAGCGAGTACCACAAAACAAAGAGGGTACATATCAGTGGCTGGGCTCTCGAAGGGGGCGTGTCTCGTCTATGAATATTCAGAGAAATTCTCTTAGTCTTAGCGTGCCTATAAAAGGCAATGTGATGCTATTTCTGCGGGTTTGGTCAATAACTATACAGGCTGAGATGAACTGTTGTGATTAACATTGCAGAACTTGAGAACAAAGCAAATAAGATAAAAATTTTGATACAACAAATATAACTTGACCAAATCCCCCCTTTCGATAACTTTTTTTCGCATTTACGCCTTTGATGGTAATTTGGAATTTTGAGGACTGAGAAGAATTTCATCCTTCCCAGTTTTCATCATGCCCAGAGGATTTCTCGTCAAAAGAACCAACCATGGAGGAGCAGCGTCCTACAGGGAAAGAAAAAATTCGGAGGGTGAGCGCCTAGACCTGGAAGCCGATATTACACGATTTGGGTCTCCAGATTCCGGATATTGCGCAAGTCCAACTAATTTCTCAAAGGACATAGAAAATAATAATTATGAGAAGCCGCACTGCTCTCCTCTGACAGTGAGTACACAACTTTACTTTTCAAATTTTGAGAAACTGAGTGTCAACTCTCCAAGTAACGGGAATTCCTCTCCAAAATCACTGGATCAGAGCAGCCCAAATAAGAGAAGAAACGAAAATAAGAACAAACCTATCAAGAAACCAAAGGCCGCTCGGAAGATAAATTTTGACGAGGACACGACATCTCCAGTCTCGGGCTGTATCATAAAACACCTTTCTCCGGAGGAAGAAGGTACTGTGATATACCATGGGGACATTGACAGCACGTACAACTTCGTTGAAGCTACTCCAGAGGCTCGAGCAGAGCTTGAAAAAATTGATAACAAAATCGGAGACTATATCTGCCAGTTGTGTAAGGAATTTTACGAGGACGCTTTTCAGCTGGCCCAGCATCGGTGTTCCCGCATTGTACACGTGGAGTATCGGTGCCCGGAATGCGGGAAGGTATTCAACTGTCCGGCAAATCTTGCGTCTCACAGGAGATGGCACAAACCGCGACCTCCCACAATCAGCAACAGGCAGAGCGCGCCGGCAAAAATTCTACCTTCAAACCAGAATGCTGTACACAGTGGCAACCTTAATGAGGCAAAACAGGATAACGCCATGTTCTTGATTCCGACAGACCTCAGTATTTCCAGTCCGACGAACCTTAGCATTTCCAACAGCGAAGGACAGTTTAAGTGTGAAATATGCGAAAAGAAATTCCGTAGACAAGCTTACTTAAGAAAACATCGACAAACTCACAGTGAATCTGCTAAAATTGTGCGCAACGACAACTCTGTAAGACACGAAATATTGCGCTCCAACAACACTAAAGAATTATCAAGCAAAGAGCCCTTGTGTCGCGAGGTTGTCTCCCCTCAAAATGCATTTGAGAGTTTGCAGACGAGAGTTCCAGATATGTACGTGTGTAAGTACTGCGAGAGTTCGTTCAGCAGTTCACCAGGCCTTACAAGACATATTAACAAATGTCATCCAACCGAGAATAGGCAGGTCATTCTTCTTCAAATGCCCTCATCCCTCCCTCGCCATATGTAAATAAGACGGTGCCTTAACACCGTTTGTGCCTGACTGCAATTAAAATGTATATTTTTTTAAATGAAATTTTAAACGTGAAAGAGTTGTGCATATGTGCCTTTTCCCCCATACATGTATATATTTTCATATGATTGCTTCACAATATTTTTGCTTCAATATTATTATTTTTTAAAAGACAGATATTTTTATTTACAGGTATTAAAAATGTTTTATATTCTTAAGCCATACTTATGTAGATGAAATTGTCATTTTGTTATTTTTATGTATTATTTAACTTTAATAATTGATATATATATTTTAAAATTTTTATTTTTACAGTGGATCTGTGCATTATTATATTACGAGAGTGCAATATTTAAGTGCAATATTTTAATTACCAAGTGCAATATTACTAAATGTGCAATAGAACAATATAGATATATTTTATTAATACCGACATATTTCTTCATGTTGTAATAGATTGTGATACATTTTTTTATCTGGCTAGGCCGGGCAAGTGCAATTTAATTTATTCTAGATAGTCTAGTAGTATTAGGATTTAGATTTTAGCCTTTATTTTATTTATTTATTTACTTATTTATTTATGTTTTGCTTTAAGTTATCCAGAATACTAAACATTTTACTTGGAAAGAAACAGAGTTTTACGAAAGAAAAGCAATAGGTGTGAAGCTATTTTTTATGTTGTGATCTTTTTATTTCTTTATTGATTATTTTTTGTTTTATTTATTTTATTTTTATATTTTGTTATATTTTACATTAACAAGTCTTGTCACTGGTTTTATTTAAACGTTATTTTATGTTTCCATTTTCATTAAGTTATATTTTTTGTTGTTGGTTTATTTTGTTACTCATGTACTAGTATTTTGTTAAAATTCAGTTTATGAGAGAGAGAGAGAGAGAGAGAGAGAGAGAGAGCTATGAATAAACAAGATTGTATTTCATTCACCCATTGCAGACCTTTGTAAGAGATGCGTTGTTACTTAATAAAGATTGATTTCTATACGTGTAATGACTTTATAATTGTAACGGTCTTATGGGACTTGTCAATGTCTGGCGTGTGCTTGATTGACATTTTACCTGTGCCATTCGCCAGGTGAAGTGTCACACCTGAGTTCTGGATTTATTTACACACATTAAGTTTGCAGGCATCCACTGTTTAATTTGATTTAGCCATAGTTCTGGAACACTGCAATCATACTAAGTCGGCTTATGATGAACGGAGTTTTTGATCCTTTTATTTTATTAAAGGTTGTTAACATTTGGTAGTAAGTATCCTGAATCACACAAACAGATACTGTAGTATTGATGATATTTTGACAGCACATTGCCACAAATAAGATCAAGTATGTGAATTATCATAGCTGTATAATCCTGCAAAAATACAAAGGGCACTGGCAATTAAAATTAATGCAGTTTGATACCTTTAGGTCCTTCCGACTTTTTTATAGGTAAGAACGCCAAAAAGAAAAAAAAAACTTTCTCCTGCAACTGTATCCTGCTTCAGGGGAGTTTAAATATAATGCAGCGTGGATAAAGAATGCGATATTGATCCAAAACACTAATTTGTAAATAAAAAAAATGATGTTCTAAAAGTTACTAACCTGACTTTAACATTAGCATAATCTGTCAAATATGATTAATGAAACTCGGAGTAGCCCAATTGAAAGGTTTCTCATAGCTCTTGATAACACATTTCCAATATGAAGCTGACAACACCTACAGTATTATACTGGAGGTGATTCAGTGACTGAGAAAGTTGTTTTATGACAACAGTATTAAAGTGGGGGTTGAAGATTGATAAGGCACAGAATATTAATCAAAATGAAAGGTAAACAAGAAGTGTAAATCCGAAGGAATGCCGATCGCTTCAAATTTCAGGATTAGAAAAAATACGGTATATCGGACTCGAATGTTATCACGCGGAACGCATTTCCGGCGGCCAGTTTTTGACGCTTATCAAGTAATATCAAGACTAATTAACTGCATAAAATCATATAAATCGATCTACCTTAGTCAACAAAAGCTATTTAAACGGTATTTTAGTAGTCAAACTCCGATCATCTGACTGTGATAAATTAAGAACATTGCAATCCATTAAACGACACTTCCTACTTAGCCCGGCTCGAATTCGTCGCGAGTCTATCATCAAGCCTCGCTGTTGCCTTGTTTGATAATTGTCCTAATGGGTTTGATTAGTAGCATTACGACCCAATTGCTAATACATTTTTTGTACGATAGTAAAATCACTAGACTTCAAGAAGTTTTTTAGCAAACAACCCACATGATCAATTTCTGTGCGGAATAATTTTTTCCACGAGGACCCACTTTTATTGCCGTGGCGCGCAACGGAAAATGACATCGAGAATAAAACTGGTCATAAGTTTAATGACCAGAAAATATAATTATGAGAATATTTGTACAAGATCACAGAGCATGATTTTTTTTACAACATGGCTGGCATCCCTTTGACGCCTTTAAAAAAATGAAAATGTGACTGAAGGCAGATAGATCAACACATATTGCAACCCCAAAAAGTTTTTGGAAAAATATTCAGGTCAAATTTTATGCACGGACGATGAGATGACTATGAATAACTTTAAGCATTATCAAGTTGTTTGAATGATTAATGTTGCATACAAGCATTTAAAATGTACATTGTATGGTATTCTTAATGAAAGCGTGAATAAAGTAGCCACTGAACGTAAAATACATAAAGTACATATATATCATATGTCACCTTTAATAGCTCTTATCTTGTATAGAAGATCTTATGCATTGGTCTGTGTGTTTGTTGCATGCATCCTGTAAATAATTTTCACTTCTCAAACAGTCTGGGTCTGCATGATTTCAATTCAATATGGTAAAAACAAATATGCTACATCAAATCAAATAAAGCTTTTACTGATGACAAGACAATGGTCAACCCTTTAAATCTGAATGTGTTTAAGATATGTGTATTTTTCATTGTTCATCTCTCTCTCTCTCTCTCTCTCTCTCTCTCTCTCTCTCTCTATTAAACACTACCACGACCAAATCTATCAACCTCACGGATGCAGTTTTCTGCAAATCGTTCATTACGAACCTTATGCACTCTGACTCTTCCATCAGGCTTTCAAATAAAAATGTTGGACTCGTAGGTAAACCAAACTGTTCAGCGGTGTTGCTGTGGCTATGGTTTATCTGAGATTATTGCGGTCTTGTGAGATCAGAACAATGAAATGAATAGGTTTTCTGGGCTCTTATTCAAGCATCCCTTAGTTAATTGCAAACGGTCTTATTTGATATTCTGTGCAGTTCAGGGATAGATAATGCTGGAGACGACGTCATTTTTGAACGTCGGGAGGATGACGCAAACCACTGAAGCGACCTTGTGCTGCTGATGTCAAGCATGGTCTGCCCTATTTTTGGCAAACATTTGCTGTACCATGCTGTTGGCATCTGTTTTTAGGTGAGATATGGTGCTTTTTGCAACAATAAATCTTCTTGTAATTGTAGACTGTGGTGTACCTACTTCCAGTTGCCCAATTTCCATTTTGCGATATTCATCATTTTTGAATAGCGTCAATTTTCAAAAGTATCACAAACAAAAAATCGATTACCCCAGCTTTTGATAGACCTTTTATACCTGAATGGTGTGGATTAAAAATCAACTAAAAAGTGTTAAAAAGTCAAAATGTTAGCATCTTTGCAAAATCAGGTCTTTTTGTCTGTGAGTTTTGTAGAATGGCTGTCAAGTTAACAATGTATTTTAAATGTAACATATGACTTCATATCTAAATCCGACGACATTTATACCAAAATCTAAATTTTCACAGGCTGTTTGATAGCATAAATCGTTCATTTAAATAAAACAGGTATCCTCTGTGCATTGATTACAAATCCTGTTGAACATGTTTGAGCGTTTAATGAAATGCATTTCAAACATCTCCATATCATATTTGAAAAATTCTAAAATTTCTAATTTTATGACACACATCATTTGCATTTTTTTGGTTGAGAGCCGATGCTAGAGCATGAATCGACATTTATTTGTAAATTGACATTTTTTAATTAAAATTGCATATTACAAGCAGTAATAGATAACGTAAGCGGACTTACCAACTGTTAATTTGTCAATAAATGTATCTCCAAATACAATAAAAATCAATACGACTGATCGAATAGCTATGTTTAGCTTCTAATGACACGGTCGTAGAATTCCAGTACGTGAGTAGTCAGGATTCTTGATAAGATTATCAAGGCTAACAGTGTTAATGATGTTAAATAGGTGACTTTAAATAGTTTAGAAACATAGTACAGACCAAAACACTTATATACATCAGTCGATATGTTCTGAAAGCTGCTCCAGTTTATATATTTACATCAGTCTAAGCACAGGAGTTCCCTTTGCAAAGAATAATTTGAACAAATTTTTTGTCAAAATTATCTGTCTAAAATATACAAGAAAATAAACCAAATATCATTTAAATGAAATATTAAAAATGTATAATTTATCCATCCAAATTGTAACTTGTCTCTGGAAATAACTGACACCTTAAAGTTTTCTGAAATGAAACATTTTATATCAGAACTCCATCAAAAACATATTACATGGAAATGATAAAGCATAATCTAGCATAACCAAGAAATATACACACTTGATAAATTTTCATAATAATATGTAGTTTTTAATTTAGAAGAGCAATGCAACAACACGTATATATATTGCAATAATTTGTAGTAAAAAATTCAAGAAGTAATTTCACATTAAAAAAGGAGAAAAGGATAATTATATAAAAATCGACGTTATAATCTGAATGTGTATGTACATGTATATTTCAGTAGATAGCTTACAACACAAAAGGATGGGAGGAACAGGAAATGCGATGACTGATATTTAGTCTGATAGAGGTTTACGGGTCTAATGTCTTCGTCGTCCATCTGTTCCCGGAGAGCTGCTATTGTTTTAATCAATTTCTGCGCGCCACCAATCGTAAAGCCAAATGTTGACGGGCATGTTTTGGTATTTTACGAGCAGCATTGCTTACAGCGTTCACAGCAGATGTCTTTTAAGACTATGTCTTTTCATAAACTTTCATTATTAGTTTGAATAAGGGGTGGGAGGTAATTCGACATATCTTGCTGTTTCTTTTCACATGAAGCAA